GGTCTCTCCTGCCCGGGCTGGCTTTGAACTGTGATCCTCAGATCTCAGCCTCCTGAGTAGCTAGGATTACAGGCGTGAGCCACCAGCGCCCGGCTCCAATCTTTAAATTTTAACACCAGGCTTTTCATGCTTACAATGTCCTAATTTTCTTCATACTGAAATGTCAAATGAAATCTGGAGCCTACAATATATCTTAAAATAAGTGTTCATTTCCATTTGATTCATTCTCCCAATACTGTACAACCGGCCCAAAGATTCAAGTAACTGAGTTCTTTTCAGATGTTATCATCAGAAAACAGTCTTTCTGGGGTCCAAATGTTCCAAGCAAAATAAAAGAAAATATATTTATACTTATAAGAATTGTACTGGATGGGGCTGGGAAGGTGGCTCAATGAAAGAGCGCTTGCCTTGCATGCCTGAGGCCCTGGGTTCGATTCCTCAGCACCACATAAGCAAAAAAAGAAAAAAAGCCGGAAGTGGAGCTGTGGCTCAAGTGGTAGAGCGCTAGCCTTGAGCTGAAGAGCTGAGGGACAGTGCCCAGGCCCAGAGTTCAGGCCCCACTACCGGACCCCCCAAAAAAAGAATTGTACTGGGCTGGGAAGGTGGCTCAGTGGTAGAGCACTTGCCTTGCATGCATGAGGCCCTGGGTTCGATTCCCCAGCACCACATAAGCAAAAAGAAAAAAGGCCAGAAATGGCACTGTGGCTCAAGTGGTAGAGTGGTAGCCTTGAACTGAAAAGCTGAGGGACAGTGCCCAGGCCCAGAGTTCAGGCCCCACAACCGGACACACACACACACACAAAAAGAATTGTACTGGGAATTCTGATAAATACATAATCTCTGAAGGCTGATATCCCTATCCTTATCAACTCTGTAGTCTCAATGTTTTAAGTCACATTACTGTGGTAACCAAGCATAAAACCTCTATTAACTTTTCCTTCCTAGTTTATGCCACATATTTCTAGGGACAAAAATCTTGACTAAGATAAAAAGAATACAATGGATTGCTGTCTCATTTCTCCTCACATACTCTAAATTTCTCTGTACCTACAATAAATATAAACACCTTGAGGCTGAATTTTCTTTGAAAAGGAAACACTCTTCTAAAAGGATTTTGCAATACCAAATCTTGAAAAAGAAAATTAGCATAAAAATTCAGCTACTTTTATATCCATGGGCCCATTGTATACCCAATACTCTTGTGTTTCTCTTATTTAATTGAAAAGGTTGTCTGCTTTTCAGCAAACGTTCTCTGTTCACATCTAGCTTTTTCTCAGCCAAGTTACATAGCCTCCAGGAGAACTGATAATACTGAAATCTAATTGGGCAAAGGCTTCCAGCTAAGAGAAGTACTATAACTGTATTTGTTCACTTTTTTTTTTTGTCAGTCATGGGACTTGAACTCTGGGCCTGGGCGATGTCCCTGAGCTCTTCAGGTCAAGGTGAACACTCTACCACTTGAGCCACAGAGCCACTTCTGGTTTTCTGGTGGTTATTTGGAGATAAGGGTCTCATGGACTTTCCTGCCTGGGCTGGCTTTGAACTGCGAACCTCAGATCTCAGCCTCCTGAGTAGCTAGGATTACAGGAGTGAGCCAAGTACAGCCTGGCTGTACTTGTACACTTGTAAGGATGTATAAGAATCTTTTCTTGGGCTGGGAAGGTGGCTCAGTGGTAGAGCGCTTGCCTTGCATGCATGAAGCCTGGGTTCAATTCCTAAGCACCACATAAGCAGAAAAAACCAGAAGTGGCACTGTGGCTCAAATGGTAGAGTGCTAGCCTTGAGCTGAAGAGCTCAGGGACAGCGCCCAGGCCCAGAGTTCAGGCCCCACGACCGGACCCCCCCCCAAAAAAAAAGAACCTTTTCTTACCCTAGTAATACCTTTACTGCAGAATTTCTTTAAATATGTTCTATACATTCCCTCTCCATACGAGCTGAATTGAGGTTCAAAGCCAGCCTGGGAAAGAAATAAGTCTGTGCCACTCTTATCTCTAGTTAACCATTAAAAAGCCAGAAGTGGAACTGTGGCTCAAGCAGTAGAGCACTAGCCTTGAGCCAAAAACCTAAAGGATAGTGTCTAGACCTTGAGTTCAAGCCTTAGGATCAGCACACACAAAAAAGGCCAAGCTCAAGCTAGTCATAGAGCTCTTATTAAGCAAATACAAGGCCTTGGGTCTGATACCTGACCCTGAAAAAAGGAAGGAGATTTTAGCTCAATGGTAAAATGATTTCTAAGTTTGCAGATTTGGTCACTTTTTTTTTGGGGGGGGGAAGGGGGTCTGGTCGTGCGGCCTGAACTCTGGGCCTGGGCGCTGTCCCTCAGCTCTTCAGCTCAAGGCTAGCCATAGCACCACTTCTGGCTTTTTTCTTTTTGCTTATGTGGTCCTGAGGAATTGAACCCAGGGCCTCAAGCATGCAAGGCAAGTGCTCTACCACTGGGCCACCTTCCCAGCCCTGATTTGGTCACTTTCTTAACATGACTTCTTTTCAGGGATTCATTTTTGCTCAGGGCTGGTGCTCTACTATTTGAACTAGGCTTTCATTTACAGATATTTTTGGTGGTTAAAGAGAAGAATCGTAGCCCGGCACTGGTGGCTCATGCCTATAATCCTAGCTACTCAGGAGGCTGAGATCTGAGCATCTTGGTTCAAAGCCAGCCTGGGCAGGAAAGTCTGTGAGACTCTTATCTCCAATAAACCACTAAGAAAACCAGAAGTGATGCTGTGGCTCAAGTAGTAGAGTGCTCACCTTGAACTGAAGAGCACAGGGACAGTGCCCAAGCCCAGAGTTCAAGCCCTACAACTGACCAAAAAATAAAAAAAAATAAAAAAAGAGAGAGAGAAGAGAAGAATCTCAGGATTTGTCTGTTTGAGCTGATTTCAAACTGAGATTCTCAGATCTCAGCTTCCTGATTAGTTAGGACTATAGCCACAAGCTATTTGTGCTTTGCTAGCAAATTCCTCTTGTTTACTGGAGTTTGCCTGTCATAAAAATTAGGTTTTATGGAGACATGTGAATGAGTGGCTCCTAAGTCACATTTCACATTTAGAATGAAAATGGGCCACTGGATATTTTTTTGTAAGTTTTTCTAATAAGCAACATAGATTCTTTTCAACAATATTAAGTTTATATTTGGGCCTTAATGGAAATATACAGAAAAAAACAACAAAAACAGGTGCTTTGTTCATAGAAAAGCCAGTATAATCTGCATCCAGAAATGGCAACACATTTTGGCTACATTAAAGTACTGGAAAAGAAGTTCCCCTGCCAGCTCACAACTTTTCATGAGTAATTTCATAGCTATGGTCTACTATGAATCACTCTAGAGACACACAAGCTCTAGAGAGTCAACAGATTAACTCAGGGCACAGACTTTCAATGACACAAAGCCTGTCTGCCTGGTGAAAAAATTCTTGAGTGTGTGTTCAAGGTGAGTTGAGTCAATTCCCATGCATTTAGTCCTCTTCTCTCCTGTTTCCCAGCTTCTAATCATTTCCAATTTACAAATGTTCTCACACAAGAGAAAGGACGTGAAAATCAAACTAATTTATTTAGTTGTTAACATTTTGGTCAAAATGTGTCAGAAGTGGAAATAAAATGAGTTTTTACATTTTTTTTTTTTTTTTTTTTGGTGCTGGTCCTGGGCTTTAACTCAGGGCTTGGGAACCGTCCCTGAGCTTTTTGCTCTACAATTGAGTCACAGCTCTCCTCTGGCTTTTTGGTACTTAACTGGATGTTAAGAGCTTCAGAGACTTTTTTTTTTTTTTTTTGGTCCAGTCATGGGGCCTGAACTCTGGGCCTGGGCGCTGTCCCTCAGCTCTTCAGCTCAAAGCTAGCGCTCTACCACTTGAGCCACAGCGCCACTCCCGGCTTTTTTTTCTTTCTTTTTGCTTATGTGGTGCTGAGGAATCAAATCCAGGGCCTCAGGCATGCAAGACAAGCGCTCTACCACTGAGCCACCTTCCCAGCCCCTCACAGACTTTCTTGATGGGCTGGCTTTGAACTGCAATCCTCAAATCTCAGCCTCCTGAGTAGCTGGGATTAAAATGTGAGCCACCAGTACCTAGCTCATCTTCATTGATTTTAGTTATCTTTGTTAATTTTGTACAGATGAAAATTAGAATTCTAACATTTTAGGACAAAAATAGATTTTAGGAAATTAGAGGCTTTCCTAATCCATCAGGGAAGTCTCCTAGAATTAGTTATATTAGTTATAGTTCAGGAACCATAAGGGATAATTTTTCCTAGCTGAGATTATGGCAATTATGAAAAATATTCATGCAACTCAATACTTTCTGTGTAAAAGTCCAGGTCTAGGAATATAGTTCAGTGGTAAAACATGTGCTTAACATATGCAAGGCCCTGGGTTCAACCTTTAGGACTACAAAAAAGTAAGTACAATAGTCTCTCAGATATAAGTAGTGCCCACCTGCTCTGTTCAAATCTATCAGACCTTAGACACATCTGGCAGACTTGAAAGACTTAATAATTGTTTCCTTACCCCAAGTCCACATAGGCTTGTTTCAACACACCATTTAATATGGCTCTAAAACTTACCAGGAACACATGCTCAAATATCTGTGTAGGACTATCCATCTGACCAAGGATCACTATCATTTCATTATCAATAAATTCTTTGAATTCTCTCAAATTGCAAACCATTTGCATTTCCAACTCTGTTCGTATCTGAAACAAAGATGACATATTTTACTAATCTCTGTGAAGATCTTCACTTTCAACTGTGTACTATTTCTAGCCCCATATCTATTGTTATCACACTCCTAGCCTTGGACCAAAGTAGACTCATTATCTCTTACCTCTTTGGATGTGATATTCTCCAAATCTTTCTGCATCATGATCTCCCTTAATTTGGATTTAATTAGCCTTTCTGTTCGCTCACGTTCAGTTGGTCTGAGGACAAGAAGGAAGTAGTGATTTTTCTTAAGCAGGAATTTGATTACATTAATGAATATAACATTTGTTTATGTTTCCAAATTGGCAAGTTTTACCTCTATTTTGCTTAACTTTATATTGTGGAGGCATTACAAATAGAAATTTTATTTTTAGAAACAAGGTACTGGTGGCTCACACCTGTAATCTTAGCTATTTAGGAGGATGACATCTGAGGATCGTGGTTCAAAGCCAGCTTAGACAGGAAAGTCCTTGAGTCTCTTATCTCCAATTAACCAGTAATAATCAGAAGTGGAGGTATGGCTCAAGTTGTAGAGTGACAAAGCAGCAAGAGTGCAAGGCCTTGAGTTCAGGCCCAAGTATCCTGCAAGAGTGCCTGCTTAGTAAGCACAAAAGGCCCTGAGTTCAAAGTTCAGTAGAGTCATTTTTTTTACTTTTAAAAAGTTTATTTTCAGTTGGATGCCGATGGCTGAAGCCTGTAATCATAGCTACTCAGGAAGCTGAGATCTGTGGATCATGGTTCACAGCCAACCCAGGCAGGAAAGTCCACCAAGACTCTTATCTCCCAATAAACTACTCAGAAAAAGTTAGGCGTAGCACTGTTGCTCAAGTGGTAGAGCACTAGCCCTGGGCAAAAGAAGCGCAGGGACAGCATCCAGGCCCAGAGTTCAAGCTCTAGGACTGGCAAAAAAAAGTTTCTTTTCAGAATGTTGAGAATATAAATAAATAGAAATGATTAACGGAAAGGTTGTATGTGTTTAAAAGCCCTTAAATATGTTCACATATATAGACCCATTAAGGAATAAAAGACAAGTTGGGTATACCAAGGATAGTTCTTCTTTATTGAGATTAAGTGATTCCATAAATTCTACAAATTTCACAGCATTGTGGGATATGATACTAGCCTTGAGCTGAAGAGCTCAGGGACAATGTCCAGGCCCAGAGTTCAAGCCCTATGACCAAAGAAAAAGAAGAAGAGGTCTTGTTTCTTGAGTCCTGTTTACTTGCATTTTGAATTTAACATTTACATATCAGGGAGACTTTGTCTATCTGATCTTGGCTTATTTCACCTAACATGATTTGTTCTAGTTCCATCCATCTCCCTGTGAATGGCATTATTTTGTTCTTTCTAATGGCTGCGTAATATACCATTGGATAAAGGTACCACAATTTTTGGATCCATTCATCTGTAGTGGGGCATCTGGGTTGTTTCCATATCTTGGCTATTGTGAACTGAATATACTTCTTTATTCTTATATTTTTTTGGGTCTGGTCGGGGCCTGAACTCTGAGCCTGGGCGCTGTCCTTCAGCTCTTCAGCTCAAGGCTAGCGCTCTACCACTTGAGCCACAGCGTCACCTCTGGCTTTTTTCTTTTTGCTTATGTGGTGCTGAGGAATTGAACCCAGGGCCTCATGCATGCAAGGCAAGCACTCTACCACTGAGCCACCTTCCCAGCACCCAGAGATTACTATTTTAATAGTAACAATGATTCCCTTGGCCATCAACATGTGATTAATCCTGGTTGATGTGGAAGAAAAAAAAAAATCACCTGTCTCTGCCTCACAAGTGCTGGAATTATAGAACATATCGGTCTTTGAAATTTCTATCTTCATTATGAAGATAACAAATCTTTAAAGAGTGCTAATGCTTACATATATTGGCAGTAAAATCAAAAAGCTAAGACAAGCCTAATACTCTACCTACAGGATTGAGTTTTCTGACTCTCTTAAAAATAAAATTACCACATCAAACACTGATGTAATTACAGGTACACCCATAATCCTAGCTACTCAGGAGGCTGAGATCAGAGGATTGCAGTTTGAAGCCAGCCCAGACAGGAAAGTCTGTGAGACTCTTGCCTCCAGGTAAACCATCAGAAAAGTTGAAGTGGGTTCAACTGGTAGAGTGCCATCCTTGAGCAGAGAAGCTCAGGGACAGCACCCAGGCCCCAAGTTAAAGCCCCAGGACCAGCACAATAAATAAATAAATAAATAGCCCTTGGAACTTAAATATGAAATCAACCTAGTTACTCTTTAATTACTAGACAGGTATTAGTTTAATGTAACTGGATGTTTCCTGTAATAACAGCATTATTTTATATTGTACAGAATTTGAAGGAAGTGGATAATACTTCCTGCTTCATCTTTCCTCTGCTACCTACTCAAGAAAGGTATGTGCTCTGTACCTCCTTATTTGGAGATGGAAATGGACTAATAAGCCTTTGGGCATCCTGCCTGTGCTTGGCTGCCTACAGCCTTATCACTGATGGTAAAAATAGCTTCAGTAATCTCCAAAGATAGATGCTTTAACTCCACAACTGTGGAGCTCCATACCACTTAGCTCTCTTAGTTTCTCACAAAACCTGCAGAATATAGTTAATACCTATGCCATTTCTCCATCAGTCAGAAAGGTATCCTTGTCTTGACAAGAATAAAATTCTTACCCAAGCTTCCTATCCCCATTTACCCTCTGTACTACTACAGTTTGAACTCAAGGCACATGCTTAATTAGCTGGCTTGCTTAGTTGATGGTTTGCCATTTGAGTCATACCTCCACTTGGCTTTTTGCTAGTTACTGAAGCTGGAAGATAGAGATGGAGTCTTGTGGACTTTTCTGCCCTAGGTGGTTGATAGTATTTTTTCTGTCTCAAGTAAGTATGATTTAGAATGTAGGGTTTTTTGTTTTGTTTTGTACCGTGGTTTGAGTTCAGGGCTTCACATACACTAGAAACACTCTCACTTGAGTCACACTCTCAACCTTTTTTTGCTTTATGAGACAGGCCTTACACTGGGTTTTGCATTTTTTTTTAAACTAGGACTTCAATCCTTCTAGCTATATCTTCCATGTAATTAGAATTACAGATGTGCATCACCACATTCAGTTTGTTGAGAAGGAGGGAGGGGTCTATTTTCCCAAGCTGGCCTTGAATTGTAATTCTTTGCATCTCTGCCTCCTTAGTAACATTATACATGCATCACCCTGAACAACTAGAATGTGCTTTTATTTATTTATTTATTTGGTGCTGGTCCCAGGGCTTGAACTAAGGGCCTGGATGCCATCTTTAAGCTTTTTTGTTGCTCAAGGATAGCACTGCACTCAACCACTCTGCACAGTTGAGGCACAGCTCAACTTCCAGCTTTTTGGTGGTTAACTGGAGGTAAGAGTTTCCAGGAAAGCTGGGCACTGGTGGCTCATGCCTGTAATCCTAGTTACCCAGGAGGCTAAGACCTGAGGATCATTGTTCAAGGCCAGCCCAGACAGAAAAGTCTGTGAGACTCTTATCTCCAATTAACCACAAGAAATCTAGAAGTAGCACTGTTGCTCAAAGTGGTAGAACAGAAGCCTTGAGCAAAAAGAGCTCAGGGACAGCACCCAGGCCCTGAGTTCAAGCTCTATCACCGACAAAAAAAAAAAAAAAGTTTCACACTTCCTTCCCTGGGCTGGTTTTGCACAATGGTTCTTAGGTATCAATCTTCTGAGTAGTTAGAATTATAGGTAAGCCACCAGGATCAGGCGAATGTACTTTTTTTTTTTTTTGTCGGTCGTGGGGCTTGAACTCTGGGCCTGGGCGCTGTCCCTCAGCTCTTCAGCTCAAAGTGAGCGCTCTACCACTTGAGCTACAGCGCCACTTCCCACCTTTGGAGATAGGAGTCTCACGGTCTCTCCTGCCTGGGCTGGCTTTGAACCTCGATCCTCAGATCTCAGCCTCCTGAGTAGCTAGGATTACAGGCGTGAGCCACCAGCACCCAGCTGAATGTACTTTTTTGAGCTAGATGAAACATTCATTCTTGCAAAGCATGGAATTATGAATAACATTTTCTACAAATTCTTATTTTTAGTTACTATGGGATCTTGAAAGGATTTAGGGTTATTGAAAAGGTGCTTTTTTTTTTTTTTAAAAAACTGTTTTCACACACAGTTGGAAATTTTACCTTTTCCAGTAAAAGGCATTATTAGACTAATATCTAAAGCCTTTAAAAAATAATTTAGTATTTTGGCTTGACGTCAAGAATCTTTTTTTTTTTTTTTTTGGGTCCGGTCATGGGGCCTGAACTCTGGGCCTGGGCGCTGTCCCTCAGTTCTTCAGCTCAAAGCTAGCGCTCTACCACTTGAGCCACAGCGCCACTCCCGGCTTTTTTTTTTTCTTTTTGCTTATGTGGTGCTGAGGAATTGAACTCAGGGCCTCATGCATGCAAGGCAAGCACTCTACCATTGAGCCATCTTCCCAGCCCCGACTTCAAGAATCTTAAGACAAATCCTGTTTGTAAGATCATATAAGTAGCTCTACTACCCACTTTTCTCCCACTAGTTGAATATCTTGCAAGTTCAGAAAGATCAATTTATAGAGAAAGTAAACATCCTGATTAATTTCCAAAGCAGGAACTAAATAAAAAAAAATATAAAATAGTAACAAAAATTTCAACAAGTTTCAACACATAGACCTAAAAAGGAAATAAAACACCAGTGCCACTTTAGGCCTTTATTCAATGCATAGCACACCAGGGAGATTTGGTAATTTTTTTTTTTTTTTTGCAGGTCATGGGGCCTGAACTCTGGGCCTGGGTACTGTCCCTCAGCTCTTCAGCTTAAGGCTAGTGCTCTACCACTTGAGCCATAATGCCACTTCTAACTTTTTCTGCTTATGTGGTACTGAGACATCCAACCCAGGGCCTCATGTATGCAAGGCAAGCACTCTATCACTAAGCCACATTCCCAGTCATAGATTAGGTTCTTTATGTGTGGCAGAAATGTGGTTATAGATGGTAACTATTATCACTGGGAAGGATTAATTCTCCAAAAGAAAAGACTAGGGAAGAACATGCTGCCTAGGAAGCAACAGAGAATGCCTTTTTCACAATTCTTAGGCAAGCTGACTTACATATCTGTGAAGAGAGCTGGAGAGTCTGGCCGATGGGACTGCACATCTTGCATAGCATTCCATTCATTGACTGAGGATTGATCTGAGTTGATATGGCTCTCATAGTAACTCACCCAGGTGAGAAACAGGCTTCCTGGGTAATAGTTATGCATTCTGGCCACTTCACAAGCCTTGTGTAAACTTTGTAGTGCAGACCTGAAAGACATGTTGGAAAATGAGTACTGTGCCAAAACTCCACATGTATCTCACTCTTTTTCTTTTCTTTTTTGTCGGTTGTGAGGTTAAACTCTGGGTCTGGGCACTGTCCCTGAGATCAAGGTGACCACTCTACCACTTGAGCCACAGGGCCACTTCTGGTTTTCTGGTGGTTAATTGGAGTTAAGAGTCTCACGGACATTCCTGTCTGGGCTGGCTCTGAACCATGATCCTCAGATTTCAGACTCCTGAGTAGCTAGGATTACAGGTGTGAGCCACCAGTGCCTGGCCATATCTCATTTTCTAATTTGTAAATTCTATAGAATTTGGGCTCTAGAGAATCTCTTCTCTGGAACTTCAGAGATTTTTGAGCCCGATGATATCATATTATTTATCCATATTATCTACACATTTGCTGAAACCCTTTAGGCAGGATGTTAGGGGAGGGGAAGAAAACTGACAACTCATCAGTGAAAAATAAATTTAGGAAAGAATAGAGCATAGTTGGAACTATGCTGTGACAGCATCATTAGAAGACTAAAGATCCCAATAATTAACTATTCAAAGATTTGTTTCCCATGGCACAGAATCATGTAACAGCAGATAAATCATATATTTTCTCATTCTAGAGGCTTCATAAAGATTACATACATAGATGTCCTTAAGTCATGAAAATATATTCTTTAATGTGAAGGAAATACTCATATAATTACATGTCTTCTTGATGTATTAATCTCTTGGTTTCTTTAAACCATTTATTCATGTATATGGATTACTTTCTAAGAACAGCTCTGGTTATTCTGAGACTAATTAAACCTTCTGTCTCTGAACTCAGCTCAAGAAGGGTAAACAGAACTGAAAAGTATCTTTTGCTTATATTCTTTGGAAAAGCTTAACCAGAAAAGCTGTTTGGAAAAGCTTAACCAGAAAAGCTGGTTAACCAGAAATTACACAAAAGGAAAGACCTTCTATATTTTGGTTACTGGTGTGTCTCAAGTGCTTAAAAGAAGGCTCACTCATAGCTGAAAATCAATTAGGTATCTATCAAATGAAATGTCTTAATAGTTATACATTATTGTCTCTCTCCTAAAGGAAAAAGGCAATAAAAGGGAATTCTGTGGCCAATCCATTTGTAACTTTTATAAAGGTAGGACTGGGCTTTGAAGTTAGAACCTTGAGCTTACGAGACAGGCCCTCTACCACTTAAAACAGTTATTTTTCAAGTAGCACCTCATGTTTTTGCCCAGGCATATGGACCATACTTAGGCTTCCTGTGTAGCTAGGATAATGTGCTACAATGCCTTCAACCATAACCCTCCTAATCTCTGTCTCTTAAATCACTAGGATTATATGGGTGAGCCTCCTTACTCAGCCTTTCATCTATTTTTTTAAAAATACCATTTTCTAGCTGGGCACTGGAGGCTCACTCCTGTAATCTTAGCTACTCAGGAAGTTGAGATCTGAGCATTGAAGTTCAAAGCCAGTCTGGGCAGGAAAGTCCATAAGATTCCAATCTCATAATTTCCAATAAAAATGACTAAAAAAGCCAGAAGTGGAATTGTGGCTTAAGTGATAGAGCACTAGCCTTAAGCAAAGTAAAGTTAGGGACACACACACACACACACACACACACACACACACACACACACATACACACCACACATACACCACACACACACAAACCCAAACACCAACAACAAAACCCAAATCCTTTTCATTTCTATGGTCACTTGAAAACTTTATAGATGGGGGCTTTAACTTGCCTAGTATGTACTAAGCCCTAGGTTTCCCTAAATAAAGCAGAACAAAATATCAGTTATGTGTAGACTCATGATAAACAAAGATATGGCTATATTCTGTGTATTATTTATAACTTGCTCTCTTTACATCCTGTCACTGACATATTCCCATTTTTTTGGTATAAATTGTATTTTTTTCTGTCTTTTCTTTTTTAGTACTGGGGATTGAACATTGCAAGTGCTTTGCCACTGATCTACACCCCAGGCCATTGCCATGTTAATATTCCTCAACTAGATCATTTTAATGGTTGAGTAATATTCAATAATATGGTTGTACCAAAGAATTCATTTCTATCTTTTGGACATCTTACTTGTTTTTTATTTATTGCTCTTATTAGAACACAGATATGTTCTTTTTGTTGTTGTTGTTGGTCGTCGTGGGACCTGAACTCTGGGCCTGGGTGCTGTCCCTCAGCTCTTCAGCTCAAGGCTAGCCCTCTACCACATGAGCCACAGTGCCACTTCTGGCCTTTTCTGCTTACGTGGTGCTGAGGAATTGAACCCAGGGCCTCATGCATGCAAGGCAAGCACTCTACCACTGAGCCTCCTTTCCAGCCCCACGGATAAGTTCTTATAGTTAAAAAAATTCTTGCACACATCTATGATTATTATCTCAGAGAAAAATCTTAATAAAATTATTAGGTTAAGGGGTATTCAAAATGATAATGCATATTGGAAAATAATTCTCCAGAAAGGTTGTTCCAGTTTATTTTTTGTCAGTCATGGGGCTTGAACTCAGGACCTGGGCACATCCATGAGCTTTTTTGTTCAAGGTTAATGCTCTACCACTTTGAGCCACAGCACCACTTCTGGTTTTCTGGTGGTTAATCAGAGAATCCCATGGATTTTCCTGCTCTGGGCTGGTTTCGAACCATGATCCTAAGGTCTCAGCCTCCTGAATAGCTAGGATTACAGCCTTGAACCACTGGCACCCAGCTTTCCAGTTTATTTTCTACCAAGTTATATGATTTAGGTTCCTAAAATCTTTGTCAATTCCATATTACATAAACTTGAAAAAAAACTTTTAAAACCATTTTATTAGGGAAATAGATTTTTTTCTTATAAATGAAGTTATAGGATATTTTAAAAAATGCTTTCTTAGCTGGGCGCTGGTGGCTCACGCCTGTAATCCTAGCTACTCAGAAGGCTGAGATCTGAGGATTGAGGTTCAAAGCCAGCCCGAGCAGGAGAGACCGTGAGACTCCTATCTCCAATAAACCACCAGAAAACCGGAAGTGGTGCTGTAGCTCAAGTGGTAGAG